AAGTAAAATTAATATTCCAAATGACTCCGTTAGAATAAAATGAGGCTGAAGATATTTCCTATTATATCATGTTCAAAAATATATTGATAACAGCCACTCCAATAGTCATTAGTTTAGTACTTTCCCTCTTAATTGAAATGATGAACATTGTTTTCGTTGGGCATTATGGTGATGCTACAATGGTAGCTGCTGCTGGACTTGGAAATATGTTTAGCAATATTATTTGCTTGCTCACTATTTATGGACTTAATGGAGGAATTTCGACCCTTTGCTCTTAAGCCTACGGTTCTGGAAACATGAGGAAGTGCGGAATATACCTGAACAAAGGAAGAATATCTGTGCTAATATTCTTTGTGCCTATATTCATGATAATGTTCCTTTGCAAATCATTTCTGACATCTATCGGAATAGATGACAAAATTGCCTATTAATCCTAGATATATACCTATGGCTTAATTATTGCACTTTTCTTTTAAGCATAATTTGATGCTACAAGGCATTATCTTAATGCTTTGCAAAAATCTCAGATTCTACTTTACTTAGGAATCTTTGCTTGCTCGTTTCACTTACTCTGTCTCTATCTAATTTTTAATTTTTTGAAGATTGGCATATTCGGAGCAGCTTTAGCTACTATTTGTACCTTCTTTATGAATTTTTTAATCAGCACTATATACTGTGCAATGCAATCTGATCTGAAAGAGAGTTTTTTCTTTCCTAACAAGGAATGCTTCACCGATTTATGGGATTACATGAAGCTAGGCATTCCATCATCAATAATGATCTCCCTTGAGTTTTGGAGTTTTGAGATCTAAGCATTATATGCTAGTTATCTGAGTAACCTGGCTGTTGGGACCATAGTCATTCTGGTTAACACATTGACCATCTTCATTATGATTCCTATTGGATTCTAAGTCACAGCCTGTGTATACATTGGGAAATCGTTAGGAGAGGGTAAACCAAGATTAGCAGTTCGATATTAAAAAATTATCAATCTGTTTAATTTTGTTATTATAGCATCTTGCTCCCTAGGTTTAGTAATTTTTTCAAGGTAATTTTATCTTTATTTTAAAATTGCTAGGCAAATTACAGCATTTTTCACTTCATCTCAAGACTTGGTGTAACTAACAGACTAAAATATGAAATATATTGCACTTATTCTTCTCTTACACGGCTCAATGAGCTCGATTGCTGGCTCTCTAAGAGGAATTGGAAGGTATCCTTTAAATCTCAATTAATCAAAATATCAGATAAGCTACTGCGTCCAAATTCATACTTCTAGGATTCTACTTAGTTGGGAATCCTATGTCGATGGTTCTATGCTTCTATTTTAAGCTTGGTATCAAAGGATTATTATTAGGATTTGGCTGTGGAAGCATTTCTATTGCAATAATGATGATTGTATACTTGAAATTTTTCACTGACTGGCAGTAACTTTCAAAAGATGTTAGGGAATAAATGCTATCAAAGAAACATAATATCTATCTAAAGGCAATGAGTGATGAAATAGAGGAATCTTAATAGCTGATGGGCTAACTTGATTGATACCAAAAAGGTTAATTGTAATCTATAAATATTTAAGAGATAAATTCAATGTCAGAATAAGAAAATTAAGTCGAGAAAAATCCTAACTCTGATGATCTTTAAAATTCAAAAATGTGAGCTCAAAAATTAATTCATAATTCTTTAATTAATAAACTTTATATCTGCATTTAGTTTTATATATAAATTTGATAAATTAATATGAGAAACCCACTTTTTAATTTTTTCAACAATATTTTTATTTAGTTAACGATTTGGTAAATTGGGGTTTTGGGGTTTTGGGG